CTAATGACCTTTTAGATCTGTCTCTATGAATCTCTATGCCAATAACATAAGAGGCTTCACCCATATCCTTCATTTCAAAGTTTTGGCTAAGAAATTGTTTTGAATCATGTAGCATTCCCAACTCACTGCTTGCAAGTAAAATATCATCTACATATACGACTAGAAATATGTATTTGCTCCCACTGATTTTAAGATATATGCACTGGTCAATGATATTTTTTGTAAAATCATATGAAGTAACAACATTGTGAAACTTCAAATACCATTGACAGGAAGTATGTTTTAGTCCATATATAGATTTCCTTAATTTGTAAACCATGTGATTACCTTTATCACTGGCAAATCCTTCTGGCTATTTCATGTATACTTCTTCTTCAAGATCTCCATTCAAATGCTGTTTTCACATCCATCTGATGTAGCTCCTAATCACAATGTGCTACTAAAGCCATTATAATTCTAAATGAATCTTTTTTAGAAACTGGAGAAAATGTTTCATGGTAATCGATGCCTTCCTTTTGAGTGAAACTCTTAGCTATAAATCTGTCCTTATATCGTTCTATAGCCCTAGATGCATTCCTTTTGGTCTTGTAGACCCATTTGCAACCAACGGCTGTATGTCCATCTGGCAATTCAGTGAGATTCCAAACTTGATTTTTAGCCATAGATTTCATCTCTTCTTTCATGGCATCATACCAAAAACTCGAATTTTCCCCTTCAATAGTCTGTGAAAACGAGCTAGGATCATTGTCAAGTTCAACACATGTATCAGACTCTTGAAGATATACAACATAATCACTAGGAATCGCAGGTTTCCTTATTCTAGAGGATCTCCTTATACCTGCTATCTTGTCTTGATTTTGTATATTTTAAGCAGTAATAGGTTCAACATCAAGTGGGGATTCTCGTTCTGCGTTTTTCTCATGCAGTAACGGTTGTCCTTGAGTTGGTTCATATCGAGTTGTACTTCAATTCTTTCTTTTGAAAGGAATCAATATACCCGGATTGGAAGATAACCCAACAGAATCATTCATTTCCTGAAAATCAATATTTCTAGGAAACTCACTTCATGATCCTCTAGAAGTTTTGTGTTTCTAGCTTCGACAATCCTTGGAATGTACGCAGGACAATAGAATCTATAGCCCTTGGAGTTCACTAGATAGGCTATAAAAAATCTACTAACTATCCATGAGTCCAATTTCTTTATGTGAGGATTGTAAATCTTCACTTCAACTGGACAACCCCAGATATGTATATGTCTCAAACTAGGTTTCCATCCGTTCCGAATTTCAAATGGTGTACGAACTGCCTTAGATGGAACCCTATTCAAGATATACACGACATTTTTTAAGGCTTCACTCCACATATTCAGAGATAAGTTTGAATTGCTCATCATGCTCCTAATCATGTCCATTAAGGTCCTATTTCTTCTTTAAGCTACACCGTTTTGTTGTGGTGTGCCTAACATCGTATATTGTGCTACGATACCTTGTTCTACTAAAAACTTAGCAAATGGACTTGACATTTGACCCCTTTCTGTGTATTGTCCATAAATTCTCCACCCGTGTCTGACCTTATAATTTTGATTTTTCTTTCTTTTTGTTTCTCTAGTTCAGCTTTATAAATCTTGAAAGTATCAAGTGCCTCATCCTTATGATTTAGAAGATAGAGATACATATATCTTGAATGGTCATCTATAAATGAGACAAAATATTACTCTGACCATTTAGACAAGGAGTAGGAAAAGGTTCACAAATATCTGTGTGAATAATCTCAAGAATGTCTGAACTCTTTTTGGCACCTTTAGTGGTCTTGTTTGTTTGTTTTCCCTTTATGCAGTGAATACAAGTCCCAAAATCAGTAAAGTCAAGAGTTGGTAAAACTCCATCATTCACTAATCCTTTAAGTCTCTCTATGGAGATATGTCCCAATCTCTTGTGCCATAACTTAGAGGAGTTTTCTTTAACAATACAACACCTATTGCCAGTACAAACACCATGCAGTTCGGATAAGTTATACTCATAAGTGGGATCTAGAACAAATTTATATAAATTATCAACCAAAATACCATGTCCTACAATAATTGAATTGTGAAATAAGCTAAAGCTTCTGTTTTCAAATACAAACTTGAAATTCAAAGGTGCTAATCTTGAAATAGAAACTAAATTACAAGAAAAGTTTGGAACTTAAAAAGTTTCTTTAAGATCCAAATAAAAACCAGAATTTAAAACTAATCGAAAGGTTCCCACGCCTTCAACTGTTGAACTCAACTGGTTTCCAGAATAGACTCTTTGTTCACTTGGTTGCGGCTTCGTTAGGTCCAGAACGCCCTGCATAGTATTGGCAATGTGAATTGTAGTACCTGAATCAATCTACCATGTATTGTTTGGAACATTAACCAAAAGAAATTCATGACACACTAGAGATATAAGAGTACCTTTATTTTCGAGTCATTTTTTATACTTGAAACGGTCCTTCTTCATATGACATTTCTTCTTGCAAAAGAAACAGACATCCTTATTGCCTTTTGTTTCATCGGCATTTTGCTTTTTCATTTTAGGACCACAATTACCCTTGTTCTCATTGCCCTTATCATGAGTTGTCAGATGAGCATTTTCTAACTTTTCATGCTTTAGCCTCTCTTCCTCTTGAACGCACATTGTTAGGAGTTCATTCACATTTCATTTTTTGTTATGTGTGTTATACGATATGATAAATGGGTTATACTCCATATGAAGAGAGTTCAAAATGAGATGCACAAGGAATGGCTCAGAAATCTCTATCTCCATGCACAAGGAATGGCTCAGAAATCTCTATCTCCAGGGATTTAAGACGAGCAGCAATATCTCTCATTTCCATTATGTGCTCATGCACACCTTTAGAATTGTCATACTTCATGCCTGAAAGCTTTTTCATTAAGGTGCTGACCAACATTTTATCAGAACTTACAAATTGCTCTTCAATAACCTTTATGAAGTCCTTGGCCTTATCACATTGAGGGATTGATCCCCTGATACTTTTACTAACATGAGTCTTCATGAGACTCATGCTTAAGCGGTTGGATCTTTCCCACGATTCATATAGTGACCTCTCTTCTGGCATACTTGATTTCGTAGGGACAAGTGATTCATCCACACGGAGCGCCAAGTTGAGATCCATACATCCCAAAGTAAGGAGAATTTTCTCCTTCCAGTCAGAAAAGTTATCACCACATAGAATTGGAATTCGAATAGAGTTATTGAAAAAATTAGGAACCGCTGCATAAATAAACTCATACATTAATGTTATGAAAACCATCTTTAGATTGAATTAATCAACGCCAATTCAATTATGTAAATTCAAACCTTTCTGTGGGTAGAGGTTGTTATCACACATTGAATTTACAAAGACTTTAGTAATATCAAATACAAGTATTTTCCATACCTGTGGGCCTAGGGAATTTCTTGTTTTGATATTTAATAATTACTTTATTGAAATTAAATCCTTAAGACAACTATTTCCCTGTGGGGTCAAATAATCATCATATTATTTAACTGCACTTTATGAGATATCAATTATATCACCAAATAATTCCTTATGTGATTTATTTTCACGAAATAAAATTATAACTAAAGACGCTTTGGCTAATCTTAAGTTATAATAACATGTTGAAACCTCAGGTGACATCTCTAAATCAAGATTTTATTTATTTATTATTATTATTATTTTTAATGATGTGAAAAGGAATGAATAAATACTACATAATCCATATGCGTTTCCAGTACCCATTAATTTTACAAATCCATTAGAAAACTAATTATTTATCGTAATGATTGCCAATTAAGAAATCAATTATTTATAAAACAGAGCACCTTTGAACTTCAAATAATAATTCAAATTATATATGTTAAAATACATACTAACTTGGTAAAATATTAATCTGCCTCCATAAATTATTAGTACTACAGCAAGTAAATGGATTAGCGTTAGTTAAGAATAAGAAACTGCACATCTACTACATATTTATAGCAACAGATTCTTTATGCATGTCACTGAAAATACATACACAAAAATTCTAATATTTTAATATAAGGCAATCATTGCTACCATTTGTACACAATAGATCAAAAGCTTGCAATTATGAATTTTAAACATGCTATGGCATTCTGCTTCAGGTAAAAGGCACCGCCACCATCATCCATTGATGGCTTTGTCTTGGAAAGTAGAAATTAATTGAATTCACAACACATATACGTAGCAATAATTAGTCATTATATGTAGCACTAAATTTTATGTGCAGAAAAAAGAAGTATAATGACAGGTTACTGCATGGGCAACGATTTTTGTCTGTGCACTGCAATTAAGATTTATTCCAGTGCAGTAAACAATTTAAAATTCATCATAACATAAATGTTCCTCCAAAATCTAAATAACCAAGCATGAAGGTGGGTCTAATACCATATTTAAGAAACTTAAGACATACCTCTAGTCATGTTATTCAAGATTTGATTGAAAGCTTGAAATAGAAACGGGTCTTTAAAGCACCAACGATCTTCTAGCCAAAACCCACTTAATAATTCCTTTTAATTTGATGGAATAAAACGTAGGACTTTCTTTAGGAAAGAAAATATTGCAGAAATTTTGTACGGGTTTGGCTAGGGACCATTTGGCATATATATAGACAACCAGCAAACAACTTCTATCCATCATGGAAGTAGGTAGTTTTCTCCTTCAATAACTTCCCTCCAGTAACCAAATGGGAATTTATCTTGGCAATTAATTAACCTACAATTTAAACTTAAAATGCAGTTAATTTTACATTGACCATGTGGGGCCACAAATGATTTACAACATTATGTTAATTATTATTATTATTATTATTATTATTATTATTATTATTATTATTAGAAAAAATGTTACATTGCCCTGCTGATGCGGCTTCTTTTTCTTGGAGTTTAAGGTTGTCAAAATTGTGGCCAAAAAACTCACACCAAAATTAGTAGAAGTTCATGTTGAATAAAACTACACATTCTCTGTTTTAATCCTGAGATGGATAACATCATCTTCTCCTTTTGGTACCCTTGAAAAGCAATTATCTAATTTTGCAGAGGACTGAAAGGCGAGAACAGGGTTAATCTCCAATTCCATTGGTCCGAGAATTTTGTATTTAAATTCTTTGGACCAATTTTGGTAACCTTGGACTCACATTAATGCTTTTCCAGCCTCATTTGGGAGAAACAAGAAATCAGGCCAATTTATGTACTAAGGGTATCTTTCAATTCGATTTCACATTGAAACCGATTTTTTCCCTTGGTTTATTTTTATTTTTTATTTTTTGTGATTTTCATTGATGATGCCTGAAAAATGGGTTGCCGGAATGACCTGCATGTCCATCGGATGAAGTGAAAAAAGGCGGGGAACTTATTATTCGTCTTGATTTTTAGGAAATATGTTGTGTTGTACGTGAAATTGTTGCTTGAAGTTGCTTCCATTACCCTGATTTGATGCTGAAGCATGATCATTTGAATTTTGAACAGCTGCCTTTTCACCTGCATAATGGGGTTGAAATTCTCGAAGAAGGGGCCACAAAGGGCAGGAAATTTGAGTTTGGACTTTGTCCAAAATCAATTCATCCATTATCTCTCAGCAAGTCTCTTTATACGTAACCTCGTGTCAAAGAAAAGACGGCGAATGCTGGTTGCCGGCTATGATCTTGATATGACTTATATAACTGATAGAATATTGGCCATGTCATTTCCTGCAGAACGCATGCGAGCCATGTATCGCAATCCTCTATGGCAGGTTAAGTCTGTACTGGAAATGAGACATCCTGGTCATTATAAGGTGTGCATCGCAAATTTTGAACTACCAGAACTTAGATTGTTAGTTTAGGTTTTTTTGTTTTGTACTTTATTTTCTTTTTTCAATGTCGTGGCTGATAGGTCTATAATCTATGCATAGAAGAATCTTATGATGCAATGCATTTTCATGGTCGTTTGGAGAGATATCCTTTCGATGATAATCACGTCCCTCCACTTTCGATGATCAAAGAATTTTGTGAAGATGTCTACTCCTGGCTATCAAGTGATCCAAAGAACATTGCTGTTGTTCACTGCATGGTATAGTAAAAGCTTTAGAGTTACCCTTCATTAGTTATTTACCTGTAATTTTCTGAAAATTAGATGGATTTTTGGACCAAAATTCGATACCTGGTTTTCTTTGTGGATTTTCTACTGATGTTAGGTGCAATAAACTCAACTTCTTGTTTAAATTTTCAGGCGGGAAAAGGCCGAACCGGTTTAATGGTATCTTCCTACCTAGCTTATTTGGGCATGTCAGCAGAGGAGGCAATGCAATTGTATGCAGAAAAAAGAACCACCAATAATGAAGGAGTAAGTCACTCTTTCAACAATTCAAAAATTGGTTTTATTCTAGACACGACTCTTCGATTAGTTTATTATAGAGCAGTAATCAAGTTTTCTTGGCGGGTTTATTCTTGACAGGTCTCAATAGCAAGCCAGCGTCGTTATGTTGGATACTGGGAGAAAGCACTCTCTTTCCCACAGGGCGTTAATCATAGTCCTCCAGAAGTAAACTTGCCTAAACCGTGTAGCAGAGAACTCCGGAGAATCCGACTATATGATACTGTCAACATCGATCAGATCTTCTTCGTGGTCTCAGAGTTGCAAGACGTAATTCTCGGTTAATTTTCAATAACAAAAACAAAAGTATTATTCCAAATAAATTTAAAATTGACCACATGACACCATTTTGCCTGCTTCATTCTATCCATTCATACAAATCCTATCATTGTTATTGATTTCCTTATCATGTTACAGAACAAGTTTAATTAGTTACATCATTTTTATACAGATTCCAGGCCAGCGGTATTGTCCCCCAGCAGAAGTCTCGAAGAGTTGTTGCAGACGTGTGGAAGATGATTGTCAAAAATCTAATAGCCCTTGTTATTATTACTCATATGTGGATAGAGATGGAGGAGAGGAGAAAACATCACGTCGTTTGGTGGTACAAATGGACACTGAAAGTTCCATAATCTACCATAAAACTTGTCTTGGCTATTCTTATGAGAAACCAGTTCAAGTAAGATTCACCAGCAACATTCAATTCTCCTGTTAATATTACGTATCTTGTGGCCACTGAACTATTTTACAGTAGGTAACATGTTCTTTTGAGCTAGTGAATAAGGTTCCTGTTAAAGTCAGTGAGGCTTTTTATGGATTTTCTTGTTCTGGGAAAGTTTTCCTATCTCAAATTTGGTTTTTCATTCAAGACCGTATCCCGCCAGGCTTGATTTTTAACTAATGAATCTAACATTTGCTTCGGCAGGTAACTGGAGACGTGCGCATCATTTTCTATGAGAAAATGATTGGAGGGCGTATCTTCTATGCGTGCTTCAATACAGCCTTCATTACAAATAGCCTGCTGCAGGTACTTGTTTTCATTCGAAGTGAAAATGGTAATGAAAGTATTTGAAGGGCGATGAACCTCAAATTTATCAGAAACTAGGCTTGATTTAGATTTTTTTTGCCATAACCTTTCAGTTCTCCATCAGAGATATGGACAAAGTTGGGAAAAAGGGCAGGTTAATCTGTGGCCCTTCATTCAGCTTGGAGTTGTTTTTTGGTCCAGCAAACGCTAAATCCACGCTCACAGATACATCAAACGATGATAATCTCAGCGACGCATAGTTCCAGCTTAGTGTTTCTAAAGGCAATCCATTTGATCAGCACCATGCCCTGAACATGTATCCGTCTCCCGTCGAGTTTTTCATGGACGGAAGGACTTTAGGAATGGTGAAAATTTTGTACTTAGAAATCATAGGCAAATATATATTACTCTCTTTGTACTATAATAAAAATTATTACTCCAACAGCGTTTTAACTATGTTGTGGGGTCTCTATATTTTCGCATAATACGATTGCCTATGAAAAAACTTCACAGGGTTATAAACGTGTTAATGGTAAGCTCCAAATTATGGTTTTCAATTGTTCTTAGAATAAAATGGTTCCCTTCCTAATTCATTTGGTTGAGATATATATACATTGTTGGGTTTTTTGATACCCAATAATCCGAACAATGATTTAAAACAGTTGTCGGATTATTTATCGACACCATGGATCTGGCTCGGCTCGGAGACGAACTACTCGTTTGGATGACCCAAGTTTTGGTTAGTGTTGGGCTTTGTAGTATTTGTTGAATTAGTAGATTGTGGGTTGAATTTATGGGTAGCCCATTAGTTTAGGCTTTAAGAAGCCTTTTTACACAAGTCTCTGGCCCAAGTTGTCTATCTAACCTATGCTATATATATCCATATATATTCCGAGCTGTTTTCTCGATGGTGGTGAGTGGGTGTGTGTGGAAGAGAGGGCCATGAGAGAGAGATGGCCGAGAGGGTTGAGGGGCAGCCGGCTTGGAGGGTTTGTTGGAGTGATTCCCACAATTGTTGCCTCTTCTTCTCCTTCCTATTACCACCACCATCCCTTCTCCTTTTGTGGGGTTTGAGAGGGTTTGGGCAGTCTAAAGTGAAGGCAAAAATCTTGGATCGAGCCAAGGTAAATCGGTATTCGTTTAATTGTTTTCTGAGCCCGGAATTAAGATTTATCGAGAGATTTTCGCTACATACATGCAATTTGTTTGTTGTTCATGTTTTATTACATGTTTTTAACAACTGATTTTCTCCATTTTGTGGAATTCTAGCATTGTGATTATCTAGCCACAAAAAAATCTTTAGATATATTTCATGTACATATAAACGTTCATGCCACATTTAATAAATTGGTTGAGACGTCGGAACATCATAATCCACTAGAATGGACACATTTCATTGCATACTACTTTCCTTTGATTTTATATGATATTGTGGTCCACGAGCATTGAACTGACAATTAATTTCTAGGCCAACCCTCTTAGCCAACAACCACGAAAAAATCACATTTTGCACTCTGTTTGTAGACGTTGTCTTCTCCAAGTAACCTCCTTCATTTCCTTCTTTAACACTATTCAGTGCTCTTCAATCTTCTCTCTCGAAAATATTACTAGTGGGTTTACCATTTTTTGGATATAGAAGTTGCTCATCAGAACATTTTCCTAAACTGACACTGCTAGAATTTGCTCCCAGACAATGGCCAGCACCACCAATTTAGATCAAACTGCTCCTCATATAGCTCTCTTTCCGACTGCCGGAGTGGGCCATTTGATGCCATTCCTTCGCTTAGCCGCCATGCTAGCGACCCGCAACTGCAGGATAACTCTCATCACCGCTCAGCCAACAGTTTCAGCAGCCGAATCAGATGAATTGGCATGCTTTTTCGCCAACCACGAAAATATCAAAGGCCTCCAATTTCAACTCCTTCCCTACAACCCATCCACCGACATCGATCCTTTCTTCGCTCAATTCATATCTATTAGCAACTCAGTTCATCATCTCCATCCACTCCTATCTAACATATCCCCTCCTCTTTCTGCCATTATCGCGGATTTTACTATAGCGAGCAGTGTCTGTAAAGTTGCTACCGATCTTTCCATTCCCACTTATATACTCATCACTACTTCTGCTAGATTTCTCTCTCTCATGGCCTGCCATTCTCAGCTAGTCAAAAACAATCCCAAAAATAGTGGCGATGAAGGCATAGACTGCATAAAACTTCCAGCTGGTTTAGCTCCAATGCCACTGTCAAGTATTCCTCCCCCATTCTTTAACCCAAATCACTACTTCTCAACCATTTTAAGTTCAAATTCTACATCTTTTTCAAAAGTGAATGGCATACTGGTGAACACCTTTGATTGGTTCGAGTCAGAAACAATTGAGGTACTGTCTAAAAGCTTAAGCTGTTTCAATACACACCCTCACTTATTGGTCAGATTCATTACCAAAGACGTGACACTTAGCAATCTTATAAATGGATACTAATGCTACTTGAACCATAATCTTTTTTAGCTATGAGACTTTAAGTATTAGAGATGGCACAAATAAATTTATTTAAATTTTATCTTCAACAGGTTCTGAATAGTGGAAGAGTAGTGCACGATCTAGCACCCATTCTCCCGGTCGGACCTCTTGAGTCTTTTAAGGTTGGACAGGCCACTAATCTTCCATGGCTGGACAATCAACCAGCAAAGTCCGTACTCTTCATTAGCTTCGGAAGTCGGACAGCTTTATCAAAAGATCAGTTAAGAGAATTGGGCACTGGACTTGAAAAAGCTGGGCGCAGATTCTTGTGGATATTGAAAGGCAGCGAAGTTGATAAACAAGACAAGGAAGAAATTGAGGATATACTAGGCAAATTATTTCTTGAAAGAACAAAGAATAAGGGACTGGTTATTAAGGGGTGGGTCAACCAGGACCAGATTTTAGCACATCCAGCAATTGGAGGATTCTTGAGCCATTGCGGGTGGAACTCGGTAATGGAAGCAGCCAGACTAGGGGTGCCCATATTAGCTTGGCCACAGCACGGGGACCAAAGGGTTAATGCACAGGTGGTGGAAAATGCCGGCTTGGGGTTGTGGGCTAGGGATTGGTTTTGGGAGAAAATGTTGGTTAAAGGAGAAGAAATAGCGGAGAAAATCAGAAAGATTATGCAAGGCGAAAATTTGGTCAAGGCAAGTGAGGTGGAGGAAAAAGCTCGACAGGCTTATGGAATTGGTGGGAGTTCAGAAAAGGTAATTCAGGGCACCATTGAAGCATTGAAGAAGAAGAAATAAGCTCGCCTTAGTTTAAAGATATTGTAATAAAATTTTATGATATTCTCTGTGATACTTCCATTAAAATCATTCGAAATTGTTCGGTTGCACTTTAACTTGGTCTCAATTAAACAATATTCAGGATAATTTGATTACATGAGATAGTTGTAGACAATTGTTTTCTAAGAATGCAAGATGAAGGTTTGATGGAGTTTGATTAGTGCACATTAAAAGATTGTGAGAACAACGTGCACACAAAATAATTGAATGCTAAAACGAACTTACAAAATTGATATTGTCTACACCTATTCATTACAATTTAGTATGTTTTTATTGATCTTAACCTTCTTCATTCTTCTTGGTTGTAAACTAGGATCGATTTCTACTTTGGAAATAGGAAAATAGAACACAAGATTCCATATCTATTATTGAGTCATATTTCTTAAAGCTTTGAAGTACAATAAATTACGCTGTGAAAAGGTTTGAATTTGGTGACAATAATAGGGTCCTATCTTTCTTGTTTTTCTATGAATGAAAGACGAAAGATTGATGGAGTCTACATGATATATTTAATGAAGCGGAGTTGAGAAATTATGTCTCCTGCAATTTTACAGTATGCGTGAAAAGGAAAAAAAAAAACGAAAAAGATAGGACCCTATTGTTGTCGCCAAATTCATTTAGATAGAAATTAATGCAAGATGAAGGATTGATGGAATTCGATACATGGATGCGATAGGGCTGTGCGGAAAGCGTGCAAGCAAAATAATTGAAAGCTAAAACAAACATGCAAAATTGATCCTGTCTACTTCACTTCTTATTCCTTATAATTTTATTATATTCATATTGAACTTGTCTTGACCTTCTGTGAGGTCGTAATCTAGGCTTGATTTCTCTTTTTGAAATAGGAAAATAGAAAATGAGTTTCCTTATCTATCATCAAATTATATTTCGTTAATCTTTGAAGTGCATTAGATTACATTGTGAAAAGGTTTGAAAACCATATGCAATATTCAATAATGGTTTGGAGTCCATCAAGTTGTATTGTAAAATAGTTTGAAGCCTGGAGCATCTGTAAACACCTTTTACGGATGGAAGATCTACATCACTCAAACCGCATCAGTTCTCTGCTCTCATAGCAGACACTGACTTGATGTTGAATGGGGAACTGTTCTCCATGTGCTTCGAGACCTTAAACTAGAGCTAGAATACAGATCTGAATACTTAATACACACACTCGAAGAATTGTCTGGGCATATAGAATCACAAGTAAAGCAGAGCTCATTACCCGAAATTTAGGCTTTTCTCTCATCCATTGACAGGTCAAGCTTTCACTTGAGAACATCTTACGATGTAGAATATATTGTTGAATGGATGGAAGAAGAATTAGATCAAAATGGAAAAAAAGTAGTAGTGTAGAGAGAACATCCGAATTCCGATTTGGGCCTATAATACCATTTCGAAAAGAGGACGACGAGACGAGTAATACTCATAGTTTTGCCATGATGTATGATGAATTTTGGCTATTCAAGTTCATTTAGGACTCGAAAACTACTTTTTAAAGTTTTAGTGCTATTTCTATTATTTAGTTTATTTTGGATTCTTTTCAATTTTAGTTTGTTTAAACTTTGTTTTCATTAATTTTAGTATCTTAAACAAGGTTTTCATGTAAACCCTTATAAATAAGGGATTATTTCGTTGTTTTGTTCATCTTTTCATTAATAAATTTTCGTAAGTTTATTCCTTCGTAATTTGGTGGTTTCCAAATTCTGAGTTCTTAAGGCTTTCGCTTGAATTCTTTGTTTCGCGCTGCATTATCTTATCTTGCATATTGTTCTCCCCAAATGCTCATGTCAGTCAGAAAAATTGCACACCAACATAAGGAAGTTTTTATTTCAGATTAATCCAATCTCTTTTTATAATTACCATGTTTGAATTCTGATTTTCCCATTATACAAGTTCGGATTTTGGATGTTGATTTATCTTTGTTTGAGTAAGTTACATTTATTATGAGAATTCTTGTTGTTTTATCAAGATGAATTTAGCATTTTAGCTTTGTCGTTTACTCTGTTTCGCATAAGTTTCTTCCATGCGGTATCTTATGAAATCGAGTTGAGAAATCACTTCTTGAATTCTGCAAGATTGCAATATGTATGAACTCAAGAAATATGTGTTACTTTTAAGGTTGTTTCTTCCTTATGCTGGAAATATTTTATGAAGTCGAACGGAGAAGTTATGTATCCTGCAATTTTGCAGTATGCGTGCAAAGGAAGGAAAAAAAAGATACGATGCTGTTGTTGTCTCCGAATTCTTTTTGACAGAAATGAATGCAAGATGAAGGAATGGTGAAGTTTGATACATGGACGTGAAAAGGTTGTGCATAGAGCGTGCAAGTAAAATAACTGAAAGCTAAAACAAGCATATAAAATCAATCTTGTCAACTTTCACTTCTTATTCCCTATAATTTTAATGTGTTCACATTGACCTTGTCTTAATAACCTTCTTTATTGTTTTAATCTAGGCTTGATTTCTCTTTTCGAATTTGGAAAATGGATCTATTTTCGAGTCATTTATCATAAAGCTTTTAAATTTAATAAATTACGTTGTGAAAAGGTTTGAAAACGGCGTCTATAAATACCTTTTAAGGATACAAGTTCAGGCACCCTCTTTCTCCCTAACTCAAATCGTATTAGTTCTATTAGCATTGATCACATAACAGACATAGACTTGCAGCAAAACGGAAACTGTTCTGCATGAGCTTGGAGACCTTGAACTAGAGCTTGGAGACAGATCCGAGTACTGAATAGCCACACTCAAGGAATTCTCTGGACACATAGAATCAAAGGTAAAACGAAGCTGATTGCCTGAAATTTAGGCTTTTCCCGAGTTCATTGACAGGTCGGGCTTCAACTTGGGATAATCTTCTATATCGTTTTCCTCAAAAGATCAAGCTTACCTCGTAACACTGCACACTAACATAAGTTATTAATTCACTTTAATCTAATCTCTTTATGTAATTACCAAATTAGAATTCTAATTTCCACATTTTACAAGTTTGAATTTTTGGACGTTGATTTATCTTCATTTGATTAAATTTCATTTATTACTAGTATTCTATTTGTTTCATCAATGGATTTCCACAATTTTATGAAGCCGAGTTCAGAGGTCACTCCTGCAATTTTGGAAAATATATGGATTCCAGAAAATTTGTCTTTGTTTTTACCTGTTTCTTCTTGATACTTGAAATATTTTAAGAAGCAGAGTTTATGTATAATGTAATTTTGCAATGTGTGAGAGGAGGAAAAAAGAAATGAAACACGAAAAAAAGAAAAAAGATAGGATCCCATTGTTGTCGCCAAATTCTTTTAGACAAAAATGAATGAAATTTGAAGGACTCATGGAGTTCGATACATGGAAGTGAAAAGGCTGTGCGAACAGCGTGCAAGAAAATAATTGAAAGGTAAAACAGACATACAAAATTATCTCGTCTACTCCACTTCTTATTTTCTATAATTCTAATGTGCTCATAATTATCTTGTCTTAACCTTCTTCGTGGTTGTAACCTAGGCTCGATTTCTCTTCTGGAAATAGGAAAATAGAAAATGAGATCCCTTATCTATTATCAAGTCATATTTCTTAAAGCTTTGAAGTGCAATAAATTACATTATGAAATGGTATGAAAACCATATGCCATATTCAATAATGGTTTGGAATTGGGTTGTATTTTAAAAAAATTGAAGCTCGGAGCCTTTATAAATAATTACCTTATAAGGATATGTCATTATAACTATCTTGCCCACCTAACATACGTTGTCGACTATTAATGTACCCTATAGTTTTCGCCAAATTCATTTAGACATAAATTAATGCAAGATGAAGGAATGATGGAGTTCGATACATGGATGAGAAAGGGCTGTGCAGAAACCGAGCAAGCAAAATAATCGAAAGCCATAACAAATTTATAAATCTGATCTACTTCACTTCTTATTCCTTATAATTTTAGTGTGTCCATACTAATATTGTCACAATCTAGGCTTATGATTTGATTTTAATTTTTTTTCTAAACAAGCACTAAGTGATAATCATGTATTTTATAGTATCCACAATTATTGTTTATTTATTCACTATTTATTTTCATTGCATTATAATTTTATCCAAAGAAGCACTAATTGTTTCATCAACCCTGCTCTTCACTCATGCACTGATGCACATTGCTAGCCATGGGCGGAGCTACTACATGTCCAGTGCGGGCAGATTACTATATGTTAAATGCTCGCACTGGACTTTTGGGGCCAAAATAATAGATATATATATCCATCAGGGAATTCATTTGCATCAAGTTCTTTACTTAATCAGGACAGACCAATGTTACAAGACAGACTAAGGTTTGGAAACCAAGAACTGATAGTTTTTTCAAATAGTAATATTTCTTTTAAAATTTTACCTCATATTTCTTTATCTAAAGAAGAAAAATGTATTTTTGATAATTTATGGATTTCATTTAATAAGAATCCAAAAGATTAGAAATATTTTCTTGCATGTATGAATGCATTATCAGAACAAGCAAAGATTTAAATTTTATGTTGTTATTAAAGGTAAAACACCAGGAATTTTTCATTCTTGGATAGAAGTTTTAGACTGTATTAAAAATTTTTCAGATCCTCTTTATAAAGGTTTTACAAATTTTCAAGAAGCTTTAAACACAGCAAGACAGCATATATGAATAAATTTTTTTTTTATCTCCTTCTTTAAAAAATTATTCTGATCCTCCATTAGACTTCTCTCCAAGTAAAGATCAAAATATTTTTTGCCAACACTGTAAGTATATGCAAAAAAATTATAAAGTTATTAATGAAGCTAACCAGAATCTTTTATTAGAAAGTACCCAGTGCCAGTCCATAACTAGTCCAGCCCAAACGGTAGCTGGTAAAGATTTATCAAATCCGTTTAAGGTTGTGGACTTACCAAAAATTCAACAGACTCAGGAGACTGTTGATTCCTCTACTAAATCAGATCATCAGACTCAGCAGACTGATAAATCTACTACAGACGAAGGTAAAGAGATTTGGGATCTTTTAGGACAACCTAGTGGAAAATTTGATTATTTAGTAAAATATAGTCCACCAGAACATTTTCACCTGAACATTTTTCAAATAACCCAGATCTTTCACAAACCCAAGAAATTCAGTCCAGTGAAGAAAAGGGAAAAATGAT